CTAGAATAAAATCTAACTTTTTTATGTTTTTTCCCATTGAACACCTCAGAAGATTACTGAGGCTTCGGTTTACTACCACGATATGTTTGTATGTGGATGAACTGCCTAGCTGAATTGGAATTTGGTGCCAAGCTTTCCCCATGGTGTCCTCCAGAAGTGGCTCGGGAATTTGACATCTCTGTCGAAGGTGATTATCTTGGAAATTTCGTGCAACCTTACAATTTCTCTAAAGTATAGGTCAGTGATGTGAAAGACGTTCAGTTTCCGGTGCCAAGCTTTCCCCATTGTGTCCTCCAGATTACAGTGCCTTGTTCCTTTGGGGAAGTCCCGCCATGAAATCCATGCTAACGTCGACCCATGGTGCCTCTGGTAATGGAAGTGGCGTGAACAATCTCGTGTTATGAGCCCTTTGTCTTTGCCAGGTAACAAATCCTGCACTGTCTGACATGTCGCTCCACATCTCTCGTTGGTTTGGGCCAAAAAAATGCTTCCTTAAGATGGCGAGGGTAAGTTGCTAATCCTCCGTTGTGGCTCTTCCAGACAATGGCTTCTCTTAGTGAACATCTGAGAATGCATAACTGCCTCTGGTGGAACAAGTATTCATCTGTGCAGTAATATTGCCCTATTGGCTTCTCCTGACATTCTTTGAAATCTTCGTTTGTTTCATATAGAACCCTTATGAGCTTGAAGCCCACAACTCGGACATGCATGGATGTGATCAACAGATTTCGACGAATCAGTGCATTGGCTACGCGGTCCGCCTTGTGTTTCAGCACAAACTGAAATGAGGCTAGAAATTCCACTCAAGTGGCATATTGGTCCTCTAGTTTGCTATAGCTATTCAGGAATTTTTTGGGCTCTTAATCTGTAAATAAGGTGAACGTGTTCGTTAGTAGGAAATAACTTCAATGCTCCAAGGCCTTAACAATAGCATAAAATTCCTAGTCATATATCGAGCATTTCCTCCTGAACTCATTCAGTTTCTCACTGAAGAAGGCAATGAGTTGTCCTCGATGGCTCAGCACTGCTCCAACCCCAATGCCTCAAAAAGTTGGTTGAAGTCTATAGGGCTAGCATGGGTTCCCGAGCTACCTTTTTCTTTAATATGTCAAAATTGTCCTGAACTGTTGTTGTCCAGACAAATTCCTTCAAAAGTTCAGTCAGAGGGGAGGTGATAACGTTGAAGTTCCTAATGAATCTCCAATAGAAGGATGCTAGCCCAAAAAATTGCCACCGCAAGGTGAACAATTGCAGGACGGTCCAGTTGATGATGACTTCTATCTTTGCGGGAAGCATCTGAATGTCTGCATTAAATATGATGACCCAAAAAGCATACATGGTTGGTCATGAAGTGACATTTCTTTGAATAGGCATATAGTTGCTCGGCTCACAGTAGCTCGAACATTGTCTTCAGGTGGTGCAAGTGATCCTTCTCCGATCGGCCGTAACTAGAATGTTGTCAAAGTAGACGACAACAAACTTTCCAAAGTGAGGCCAAAATATCTGGTTCATTAATCTCATGACAGCGTTGAGTGCATCCGACAGGCGAAAATGCATAATGATCCACTTATAAAGTCTGTCACATGTCTTGAAGATGGTCTTCCACTCCCCTCCTGACCTCATTCGTATTTACTGATATTCGTTACCTAAGTTGATCTTCGAAAAGATAGTAGCTCCGTATAGCTGGTCTAAAAGATCATATAAGCGGGGTATAGAAAATTGGTACTTGATGTTAATCTTGTTGATGACTCGGTCGTGGATGCACATCTGCCAAAATCCATCTGTTTTAGGCATCATCAAGGCAAGAATTGCACACGAGCTGGTGCTTTGATGGACTAGCCCCCTTGTGATGAGATCTTGCACTTGTTGTAGCTCTTCGTATTCCGCAAGTCTCGATCTATAGGCTGGTCAGTTTGACAATAAGGTAAGGGTCCTAGTATAGGGTTTATGATGTGTTGGATGTGCTTTAGTGGTGGTAACCCCTCCGGTAAGTTGTCGGTGGTTACATCCTGAAAATTTTGTGGTAATGATCACAGTAGTATTGTTACCTCTCTTTCCTCCTTGCTTCCTTCCACGAGGACTAATGCTAGCGTTATGGGACATCTCAAACTGACTGCAGAAAAGTAGTCCAAGAAACTAGTGCTACCTTAGCAACACTCCTGCCCTTTGTTGTTACCTCTCTTTCCTCCTTGCTTCCTTCCAAGAGGACTAATGCTAGCGTTATGGGGCATCTCAAACTGACTGCAGAAAAGTAGTCCAGGAAACTAGTGCTACCTTAGCAACACTCCTGCCCTT